CGAAAATTTTTGGGAGGTGATGACGATAAAAAAGATTTTTATTATTAGTTTAAATACTGTTTCGATGGTAATAATTAACACCCGTAATATTCTCAGTAATATTTAGAAAGATCCAAGTAGCTTTTCAAGGTGATATTTAATTGCGTATCAAACTTATTAAAGCCTTACCCGTTAAAATAGATGCTTGAAACCACTGGAAATATAATCGTAAGAGGAAGTTTTAATGAAGCAATAAACCACATATTTGCTGCGAATTGTCTGATTTCAGTAATAAGATATTGTATCTGGATATAAAATAATGCAGCTGATAAAATAAAAATTTAATGAAGAGGATTTTGAAGCTGTAAATTTTCATACAAAAAGCGATAACGTCCGTAAATATAGTCCAATTTTAATAATTTTTGAATATGTTGTAGATATGACAAAAAACTAGGCCCGTACGTTTTTATTTTAAAGAAATATTGTATACAATATTAGTTATTAGCATCTAAGTATCTATATTTTTGACTAATAACTTCCTCGAGCGTTTTTATTTTCTTTTAATTAAACTAAACTGATTACTAAAAAAGTAAAACGTTCAGGCCTAGATTATTAGTGTACTGAATTCAATAAGACAGGGTAAAAACGTTATCGCCGGAAACAATATTTCATAAAGAAAATGTAGGCAATTGCCTTCAAGACCTACAACTCTCTCTATCGCACGATACGGGTCGGGGGGCAGGGGCATATTGTAGTGATGTTAGGGGTGTTGGAACCGCGGTAGCACAGATGGTTAGCGCTCGCTATAAGTTTCACAGTTGGTACGCGAGAAACCCGGGTTCGATCCTCGTCGGCACCAATAAAATTGTTAATTGCAATTTTAAGTGCCGATTAACCACGTGCTCGGCGGTGAAGGAAAACATCGTGAGGAAACCTGCATGTCTGACAAATAAGAAAAAAAATATATTTCGAAGACATGTGAGGTTCGCCAACACGCATTGGGGCAGCGCGGCGGACCTTTCCTTGTCCTAAAACCCTCTCAGAAATGAGAGGAGGCCTGTGCCCAGCAGTGGGACTTGTATATAGGCTGTAACTTTTAGAGGTTTTATCGATATTATTATCGCCTAGGGAGGAGAAAATAATATCGATAACCTAGAAAGATAATACCTCTCATGAAAAAGTTAATGTCTGTGATTATTCAGTGTTTATCGATTATTTAGTTATTAATTTAGTATTTATTGAATAAGGACATTAAATTAAAAATATTTCGAGTTTACAATAAAGTAGGTAGGTAGGCAAATAAATAAAATGTAACAACTTGAGGAAATTATTATTGTTTATTATTACATATTACTTAATTACACTCTTTCTCGAATTACCATTTCTCTAGGAACTCGAGAGTCAATCATTTCTGGTAATAAACATTAAAAATGAAATGAGTAAAGTCTTGGCTGCATTTTTGCTGCCCAAAAGTGATCATAGTATTTAGTTTTTTTCCTACGCCGAACCACATGGTTTATTAAATTAAGTACGAAAACATGAAAAAGTTGTGTCCATACTATGAAAAAACAAAATTGCCTACCAGTGATATGTAATTATCCCTGGACCTGATAATAGTAATCATGGTTTGTATTTTTCTTTTTGTCCTTCTCGTATCAAACAAAATTTGATCTGTTTTTAGTTATGGCCTCCAAATGTCTCTCTTCCTTCGCCACGCGATAGTGGTTACACGTATCACACACTAAAGTTAAAAATTCAATATTTAAAGTGCTAAATTAAATATTTAATGTGCATTAGTGACGCTGCTAGCAAAGGTCCAACATAAGTTGATATGTACACAAAGCTAGCCTACTTGTAAAGAGGGATCAAGATAAAGTTGTAAATATTCTATTCATTTACTGTTGCAACCACATAAACTTTAAACTAAAGTAACTTGAAATAAAATGTCTAAGCTTGTAAGATCACCCCCTGGACTTAGCATGCAACATACGTTATCGGATTCTGATGTATCCAGTATAGTTGCGACTCCAGCTACACCATCTTACATTTGGTGTTATCACCGTCTTACATCTCTTACACAAGAGGTGGCTCCTTAATATTAGCTAGTAAATTATTATCATGTAAAGAACGTAAAGACATTGTGGGCCTCTCTGTTAAGCGAACTGTAGAAATGGCATGTGTTGAGTTTGAACACCTCATTGTTGTGAGCGTCTACAGACCCCCATGTTGTGCATATGATACTTTTGAAAACATTATGGAGGAAGTTTTTGCTAAGCTTAATAAACAGAATAAATCTGTTGTAATATGTGGAGATTTTAATATCAATCTCCTAGAAGCTTCCTCCATCAATATTAAATTTAGATCATTGTTTAAATCATATGGTCTTTTTAATTTATTTATAGAGCCAACGCGTATTTCTCAATCTAGTGCAACATGTATAGATAATATTTTTAAATGTGAAGCCGTTGCATAAATGTATAATTCAAAAATTAAGTTCTTATCACTGTGGACAAGTAGTTTCGTTACCTTATGTTCACAAAAAGCAAGTAGATGAGAAAGTTGTGTCTGTTCCAGTAAATGCACGTCGCTTGGAGAAATTTAGAACTAACATAGTGAAAAAACTTCCATCACTTTCCTACCAAAATGATCCTAATTTTTTTGTATGGAACATTATTTAAGCTTATTTGAAATGAATTTAATAATACTTTTACTTCTAAAACATTCTCCTTGAACAGTCGGAAGTCATTCAATGAATGGGCGACAGTAGGAGTCCATAAGAGCAGGCATAGGTTATATGATCTTTACCATGAAAGGTCATATAATCATAGCGTCGAATTTAGGGAATATGTAAAAAAATATTCAAAAATATTTAAAAGAGTGTGCTCCATAGCCAAGTCTTTGCATTTGAGCAACAAAATTAAGACGGCTTCCAATAAAATTAAAATGACATGGAGTATAATTAATAGCGAAACTGGTAAGATCAACTCTCGCAATTCAAATTACCAGTTAAGTGTTAACAACAAATTAACTGTATCAGATCAGGACGTAGCAATGGTTTTTGAGAAATATTTTACTGATATTCCGATCTTCACCACGAAGTCACTGAATTCTTCTCCTACCGTCGCCGAATAATTACTTAAACAAAATGTAAATGTGTGTACAAAGACTTTTACATTTCATAAAGTGTCATCAAAGATATTGTAAAATATTTTAAAATTATTGATGTTAAGAAAACTGCGAATCTGTGGGGCGTTTTCGTTAAAGTTATTGCGTCTACAATAGATACAATCGCGCCTCATTTAGCTATTATTTTTAATACTAGTATCGAATCTGGTGTGTTTCCTGATTTAATGAAGCACAGTAAAGTAATAATTTTATTTAAATCTGGTAGTACATTAGACCCCGCCAATTTTAGACCTATTTCTGTACTACCAACACTTAGTAAGATTTTTGAAAAAATTGTTCTTGATCAAATGTTAATTTTTTTTAATATAAATAATTTACTTCATAAAAATCAATTTGGTTTCACAAGGGGTCGCTCGACAACTGATGCCGATGTTGAGCTGATTAAATATATCTTTAATGCATGGGGGAATTCACTGGATGCTTTGGGTATATTTTGTGACCTATCCAAGGCCTTCGATTGTGTTCACCGTGAAACATTAATCAGGAAACTTCATCACTACGGTGTAAGAAGTGATGCTCTTAAATTAATTATTTCATATTTAATAATAAGTAAGAGAACGCAAAAAGTTGTCATTAACAATATGAGCTCTTCCGGATCGATGGTACAAATGGGCGTGCCTCAAGGCTCAATTCTCGGCCCCTTTCTGTTTCTTGTATACACTAATGACTTACCTTACATAGTAGGGGATAACCATGATATAGTATTATTTGCAGATGACACTTCTTTAATTTTCAAATTAAGTCGACAATTACTAAAATATGACGAAGTAAATAATGCTAAATCTAAATTAGTAATGTGGTTCGATGTTAATAATTTGCATTTAAATGGCACTAAAACAAAATGTATGAAATTCGTGACTCCAAATGTCAAACAAGTAAATAATAATGTAATTTTAAATGGGGAGAAACTGAGTCTTGTAGATACCACCATTTTTCTTGGAATCACACTAGACGCGAAGCTTCAATGGAGCCCCCATATATCAAAACTAGCAAGCAGACTTAGTTCTGCAGCATATGCTGTAAAAAAGATTAGAAGTCTAACCAGTGTTGAAACAGCTAGACTAGTTTACTTCAGCTACTTCCATAGCATAATGTCGTATGGTATTTTGCTATGGGGTCACGCAGCTAACACTGAAATTATATTTGTTTTGCAGAAGAGGGCCATAAGAGCAATTTATGAATTAAAGCCTAAAGAGATGCTGCGACAAAAATTTAAGGAAATTAATATATTAACTTTGGCCTCTCAATACATTTATAAAAATGTAATGTACGTAAATACACAAAAATAAAAGTAGTTTTACAAAAATAAGTGATATTCATTCTGTAATACTAGGAACAGACACATACTAGTAGTACCAGTTACTCGACTCCATCGAGTCAGTAATACATTCTTGGGGCGATGTATACGCTTTTACAACAAAATTCCAGAAAATTTACAAAGTTTGACCTGTTCAAATTTCAAAAACTTTATTAAAATAAGTTTGTATAAAAAGGGTTATTATAATATTAAGGAATTTATGGATGATAATAACCCCTGGAAATGGGGTGATCGCTACCAAGCTATTTCTAATTTGTTGTGTTGTTAATTTGTGTAACATCATGGTTGTAAGCTGTTATTTAAAAAAAGTCCCGCTGGGTTTCTTGCTGGTTCTTCCCAGGACAGAGGTTTTTTCCGAACCAGTGGTAATCAAACAAAAGAGTGACTTTCAATAAGTATTATTTATAATCTATATTGAATAAAAAAAGTTTGTTTCTGTTTCTATTTTTAACGAAACAAAAGACAACGCGAGTCAAGCGACGCACAATTATCGTCATTTAAAGATGAAATTCGAAATATGTTGGATGAATGGAAAAATACACAAAACTCTCTCATGAACAAACTTGTCTCGGATATTGCAGAAATAAAACAGCAAAATATACAGATTCAGCACTCAAATGAAGAAATTGAAAAAGCTTTTGATTTCCTTAATAATCAGTATGAAGATATGAAGAATAAGGTTGGTTGTCTTGAAAATAAAGAAAAGCAACATCTACTTCAGATAGCCTCACTCGAAGCGCAAATAGAAGATATGCATAGAGCTCCAAAGTCATGTACTATAGAAATAAGGAATGTACCTATACCTGCACATTCGGAAACTAAAGCTGACTTGTGTAATATTGTCCAACAAACATATAAAGTTCTTAATGTAAATGTTCAGGAACCTACTATTAAGGATGTGTTTCGATTGAATAGTAAAACGGGAAAAACCACCATCGTCACTGAATTCTCATCGGTTATAGTGAAGAACAGTGTCATTCGGGGAGCAAAAACGTTCAATAAACAACATCCTGATCAGCGTCTCAATATTGCTATGATAGGATTCAAAGAACAAGTAAGACCATTTATGTATCTGAAGCTTTAACAAAAAAAGGGCGAAGATTATTTTTCTTAGCAAGAAGCTACATAAAAACTGAAGGCTACAAATTTTGTTGGACTAGCCATGGAAAAGTATATCTTCGTTAAACGGCCGAGTCACCTCATATTGAAGTCAAGAATGAGACCCAACTACTAGATCTGAAGAAACAGAACTGACTAGGCAAACCTCTAAATTCTTTATATATACTTAATTTTTACTCTTTTTACGGTTATGTTACATTATATAAATATCTCATGTGTTCCTTTGTTGTCTATATTTACGTTATATTTCATTTTGGCATATTATACAGGTATACTCTCATTGCTATTAAAACCAAAACACAAAGCATTTGCATCGGCTGTAATCGTCTCAAGGTTTGCCAAGTCAGGTTAGTTAAAAACAAGACATCACATTTTATCTCTTCTTCTTACATAAACACTATGCTAACTATGTCACAAGTTCCTTTAAGTTACATACGGTCTTATTAACAATAATAACTTAACGAAAAACATAGACCAAATTAGAACGGGTGCGTCTTACTTGTGTAGTCCAGAATCTTGCAACTCTTTTTTTAAATCGCAACTAGCAACGAACAATAATTTACTAATACTAACGCAAAATATTAGAAGCATCTCCAAAAATTTTACTGATTTTGAAATACTACTAACAAGATTAGATATAGCATGTGATATATATATATTAACTGAAACTTAGAATTCTAAAAGCGTACATTTTCCGTCTCTCAAAAACTACAATACTCACTTTACAAAAAATAACAAAAATCAAAACGATGGTATCGTAGCGTACACTAAACAAAGTTATTGCTGTACTGTTGAAGAAAAATTCTTAAATGATGCCACCTGTTTAGCTATTGAATTGAACAAGTACACGGTTGTGATAGGCATCTATAGATCTCCATCAAATAAAAACATCGATTATTTTATAATCTCATTAATAATATTACTTACAATTTACGCGAATTTTAGTAACATAATTTTAATAGGTGACCTTAACATAGATGTAAAACTCAATAATGAAGATCGTAACTCCTCAGACTACCTAAAGTTACTAGCAATTCACGGTCTTTTAAGTGGTCATACTTAACCAACTAAAGCTCATAATTGCATAGATCATGCGATGATTAAAGCTAAACTCCCATCAATAACAATCGTTTTAGAGAGCCCTTTGACCGATCACTCAGGGGTTCTAACGTGTATAAGCTTAAATTACAAAACCAGCGTATTAAAAAATAATGCTCACAGTAAAATTAACTATAAAGGAATTACCGAGGGACTTAAAACTAAAAATTTTGATGATTTATTAAATCCTAATGATGTAAGTTGGTCAGCCGAAAAGTTGGTCAAACTTTTAAATACTCCAATTTTAAATAACACACTTAAAATCTTACCACCTAGAAGAGTACGCTGTATAAAGCCATGGATCACATCTGGCCTTGTCCGTTGTATAAGGAGTCGAGATCGAATGCATTTTAAATGTAAAACTGACCCTTATAATATAATACTTAAAATTACTTACTCAAGGTACAAAAATTATTGTAATAATATACTAAAACGCTTAAAAAGAAACTTCGAAAGAAATGAATTAAATAAATATGCTAAAGACCCAAAAATGAAATGGAAAATAATTAATAAAATAACTAATAGAAATATTCAGAAAGTATCACCTATTAATCTACTTAAAATAGAAAATACACCAGAAGCTGCTCTAGATAAACTTAATAACTATTTTGTTAATATTGCAAAAGAGTTATCTCAAAAGAATTAACGGATAAAATTACACTTGAAGGCAACTCAAATATTCCCAAATGTAAACCAGTACACATACCTGGTAACTCGATGGTTTTGTTAGAAACAACAGAGCAAGAGGTTGAATCTACACTAATGAGTTTGAGATCAGATAGTGCAGTAGGTTGGGATGGTATTTCTTCAAAATTATTAAAAATTATCAAAAATATTATTGTCCCACCTCTAACACGTATCTTGAACTTGTGTATTAAAACGGGTGCTTTTCCGGACGTATTTAAAATATCAATAATTCATCCTATCTACAAGGGAGGAAACAGAGAATTCGTTAATAATTACCGCCCTATTTCAGTACTCCCCTCCCTATCCAAAATCTTTGAAAAGATTTTGAACAAAAGACTAATATTGTATTTAGAAAAAAATAATATCTTATCTAACAACCAGTATGGTTTTAGAGAGCTGGTAGTTCAACAGCTGATGCAGTTTCTGATCTTACCGACTTTGTAGTTAGTCAAATAGGTAGTAAAGTTAAATCTGTTGGAGTGTATTTAGATTTGGCAAAGGCCTTCGACACAGTATCTATTCCAATTTTGTTGAGTAAAATGGAAAAAGTCGGTATCAGAGGGATGACACTTGCTTTATTCGAGATCAACTTAAAAAACAGGATCCAGAGGGTAATTATTAACGGCTATTTTAGTAATAATGCTCCTATTAACTATGTTGTACCTCAGGGTAGTGTACTCGGACCAACATTATTTTTAATTTATTTTAACGATTTATGTAACCTTAAATTAGATAGTTGCAAAATTTTTACTTACGCTGATGATACTGCACTAATCTTCTATGGAAAAAGCTGGGATGAAGTAAAGACTCATGCTGAATTAGGAATGCAAGCAGCGTTACAATGGCTCAATCAAAACTTACTTACTGTGAATATCTCTAAAACAAAATTTATGTTGTTTGCGAATAATAAACGAGCACTTACTACTGAAAATACATTTAAAATCAAAATACACGCCTGCAAAAACAAAAGTTCATTTCAATGCAATTGCACATCTTTAGACCGAAGTGACACAGTAAAATACTTAGGCGTAGTGTTGGATGAAAATCTGATATGGTGCCCTCATATCAACCAGCAGGGAAAACAAGAAGCTTGGTATACATATTCAAAAAACTAAGACACGTGACAGACTATTCTTTACTGAAGACTGTTTACTTATCATTGGCATAGTCTATCTTGTCTTACTGTATTTCCTCATGGGGTGGAGCTCGTAAAACTCATCTCATAAAATTAGGGAGAGGACAGCGTATATTACTCAAAGTAATGACATTTAAACCATTTAGCTATTCCACAGACAAACTATATTCAGAATGTGAAGTATTAACTGTTAGATAATTATATATTAAAGACGCTGTTATATTCCAATATGAAAAACTTACATATAATCACGAATTAACAATCAATCGCCGGAAAGATAAGGTTTGTCCTACCGGCCATTTTAAAACCTATTTTATAACTAAATTTCAATGCTACTTAGGTCCTATGCTTTAAAATAAAATAAATAAAATTCTACAAATTTACCCGCTTAACAAATATCAATGTAAAAAACTACTATTATCTTGGTTAAAAACTCTAAATACAGAAGAAACTGACAATTTCTTGGTCACTTTAAAATAATATTACATCAAAATAATATACATCTACTAAAACTACTCTAATTATAATAATTAATGATTATTTCACTTGTATAGCTTCTAATAATACTATATTTAACTAAGTGAAAATATAATTTAAAACAAAAATAAAAAAAAACCTTTGCAAAAACCTCGAATTAAATAATTATATAATATGTGTATGTGTGTCACTGTACATTGCATAACTTTTGTTAATTACCCGTAGAATAGCTAAAGTTATACATCTTGCCTCGTGACAATAGTAATCATTTATTGCATTTTAAATTAAGAAATTAATAAAGTTCCTATATACAGTAGTCTAACCTTTCATACGCATAACAAGTTAGTGTGACGGTAAACGCAAAAAAGTGGTACCTAATGTATGACATTTTCACGCGGGCGAAGTCGTGGGTGAAAAGCTAGTTTACCTATATAATTCGGTTCATCGTTTAAATTTCTGTGAGAGCGTAGTCGTTCCCTGGTCGAGCCGACCCACTCGTGCTACAACTATACTACTAATATAACTGCAGCATGGCTATACCACTTATAAAAATTTTACTAATCAAATCTTTGTATCTCGATAATTTTTTCATTGCATTTTCCTTGGAATCATCGGAATTCCACAGTAACAGTGATACGAACAACTTCTTCTAACGGACTAATATTATTACTGGATAAGTGGTAAAATTAAAAAAAAAATTGTACACCCGATTTCAATAAAACTCAATTACAACATAATATATGTAATGGTTGAAATGATTTCCATTAAATTTGTATGAGACCAACTGTGAACAAGAAAAGAATAGGTAAGTATTCAAAATCGGTCCGGAGAAATCGGTGAACATACATAAAAATAAAACAAATATACATACAGCCGAATATAGAACCCCTCCGTTTTTGAAGTCAAATCAACATCAGCTATCCCATACTTTTATATTTTGTGGAATAAATTTCGGTCTATCTCTACCAGTCAACCAATGTACATACAATAGTATGTGAGGTGGTAAGGTACGCGATCAAAGTAAGTATAATTTATTATAATTAAGTAAGTAAGTACGCCTACTTACCTGTTGAGCACAGAGCCTTTGATTTTAGAAGTAAGTTGCCCGTCCTCCTATTCTAAAATGTATAAAATTATTTTAGTTGAATGAATGTAATACTCATCTCGTAATCACTCATATAGTATATAGGAAGATACTTACATAAAAAAATAACAGCCCACTTCTATAAGGTATATTATTTAGTAAGTCCCCACGTCTACATAGACTATCCAATATAATAAAATTGCAAAGTAACACAAACAAGTTCATTATGTAAATTGTCGTAAACGTACGCAAATATAGGCTATGAATGAATGAACGCTCCTGTTGCTAGTATCGTAGTGTGTGAAAATAAGTGTAATATGTTGTATTTGTGTTGTTCACGCCCGGAGCCCGGCGGGAGGCAGAGCGTGCGTTATGAAACAGATAGCATTTTTGTAAATACCTACTCCCGTCGCGTATCGGCTCTTCAAAATCCTCTTAAATGCTGCAATTTTAAATTTAATTGTACTTGTTTAAGTTTACTGAGGTGACAATGAATTTTATTTTAATAACACTGAAATGACAAACGAACTTACAGTACACATGTTGGTAAATGGCTACTGCAATCCATGGACACCTGCAGCCAACTGCAAGCAAAGAAAGCTACAGATACATTGTCATCTTTTAGAACTCATATGGATTGCCTCACATCCTGTTATTAAGCTGAATCTCTATAGCCTTCAGAGTGGAACAGTAGTGCAGCAGAGTAGTGGAGCGGAACAGCAGTGTCAGTGCACAGTGGTGCACGCACTACTGCTTGGGGGCAAAAATAATTTGTTGCCACCTGTACCTACCAAGACGTTCTTCCAAGTAGAAAAGGTGTCCTACCACGTTCTACCTAAGCTTCATGTAAAGTTTCTATCTAGTAAAATTTCACCTAAGCTATAGGTACAGCGCATAATTCTAGAAACTTTCAAATTTTGTCTATAAACTTGCTGTTCCCCGAGACTTCGCCCGCGTGTAGCATAGGTTTTTAATTTTTTGCGCCGAACCCTAATTTTTTTCTGAAAAAAAATTAGCCTAAGATACTTCATATAACATCAGCTATCTGTCAGTGAAAGTCCCGTCAAAATCGGTCCAGCCATTTCGGATAGACAAAAATTTAAAACATTGTTTTTTTGTTATAAGTACCATATATACTTTCATATGCATTTAGTGTAAAGTGTATTTTGACGTTACAAACAGACACTCCAGTTTTATTTATTTGTATAGATTAATACGTAAACATTCATTATTTATGCTGACACTACCATTATTATGTGGTCAAACAAAAGAACAAAGAAACATTCGCACAGAGTAGAATTATTATTTATATATAAAAATTACGTGTCACATTGTTTGTCCGCGATGAACTTCTAAACTACTGAACTGATTTCAATGAAATGTTTCACAATGTGTGCAGTTTGGTCCAACTTGAGAGATAGGATAGTTTTTATCCCGATAAGTGACCCTCAATTTCTTTTATTGTGAATTTAATGATTTTTTTAGGACACATCGTCGTGGGAAAGGGCAGAACAACGTCTGCCTGGTCAGCTAGTACATTATATATTATACTGAGAGTTGAAAGTGAAATACAGCTTGATTAAATTACAAACTTAAAAATTTAATGAATTACGTTCTAATTTTGACCAGTGGGTGGCTATTTATTTAATTTAAACTGTATATGACGCTACAATAACTTGACATAAACTAAGACTAAGGTATAAACGTAAATAAAATGCGATAGGGCAACGTTATAGTAATTTTTAACTTTTTTGTACCTCATGTAACGGCTTATTATTATTATTATTTTTTTTTCTTTTCTCTTTTTTTTCTCCATGTAGGGTATTATGATGATACGGGCTTTAAGCCAAGTAGTCATCATTTGCTGGTATGGTATGGTATTATGGTATGGTATTATTATTATTATTATTAAATAATAATTAAATTCAATATAGAGACATTTAAAATATCATACATACAATATTTTGAACAATTAATATGCGTTAATTTGCATAAAGTTTATATATATTAATTTCGAATATTGAGTATTATGGTATAGAAAGTTTAGGAGCTGACTCCATATGCGTCTGTACGGGTGACCATAATGAAAGATTGCATAACTTTATGACATATTTATTGTAGAGGAGCGTGTAATACAGTTGACGGGCAACTAGCTACTGTCTGACTGAATGAAAATCTTAGTACTAAGTAGAGAGGTACAATATTATTAAGTATACATATATATGGTAGCTAGGTACAACATTACTAATTATACATGTGTGTGCGCAGCACACCTACAAAAGGCATAATATTGTCTTTAAAAATCTTAAAATTTATTAAAAACTCTGCGTAAAATATTCAAAATGTATTGTATAATAGAAGTTTAAGTCGATTATATTGCAATAATAAAGATAAATAACATTTGTAACATAATTGAAAAATAGGTCAACAATTTTCTAAGTTAATGAGGGTGTTCTTGTATTACTGGAGAGTGCTTTTATGGAGTTGTCGGATATACATACTCATGAATATCACAAGCACACAACCACAAATCAGACATAAATATTGCTCTTTCATCCACACATCAATGTTATGATTGACATTGTTACCCCTGATTGTAAAAAACATAAAATACGTGCTTTGTTAGATAATGGAAGCACTTCGTGCTTCATAACAAAAAATCTTTGTGATAAATTAAATCTACCTATATAGTCAACATCAGTTTCTGTGGAAAGATTGAACACTAGCAAGAACAATTGAATAGATTCTTTGAATTGGAAACAGTCACTTCATCTCGCATACTTTGCAAGGAAGATCATGAGTGTGAACAGTCATTTAAAAATACAACGACCCGTCAAAGAGACGGTTGGTTCATAGATACTATACCATTAAAACATTCACCACAATTACTAGATAGTTCTCATGAGCAAGTCATGTCGAGATTTTTATCATTGGAACGTAGATTTGCACGTGATTCTCTTTTTAAAACAAGATACATTGACTTCATGAAAGAATACCTAAACTTAGGTCATATGTCTTTAAATGAAGACAACAATGAAATTAATTCATATTACTTACCTCATCACGGGGTGCTCAGAGAATCCAGTCTAACAACCAACCTGCGAGTAGTGTTCGACGCTTCCGCAGCGACATCTAGCGGTATTTCATTTAATCAACTCTAGCATATTGGGCCAACTGTACAAGATGACCTTATTGGTATTTTAATAAGATTTCGTCAGCATAAATTCGTAGTGACATCTGATGTCGAAAAAATGTATAGAAATGTTCTTATCACTGAAAATCAACGCAGTTTACAGAAAATTTTATGGCGTTTCAACCCTTCTGAGGAGGTAAAGAAATATAAATTAAATACAGTTACTTATGGGAGCGTATCGGCCCCGTATCTCGCCACACGATGTCTTGTTCAGTTTGGCCAAGAGTGCACAGACACACACATACAAGAAACTACAATTCACGACTTTTACGTGGATGATTACATTTCAGGCCAAGACTCAATGCAAAAAATTATACGCATATGCAAGGGCGTTACTACACAACTACAAACAGGGCAGTTTAATTTACGCAAATGACGGTCTAATAGTAAACTTATTTTGGACGCTATACCACAAAATAACTCAACAGACGAACTATTGACTTTAAACAATGACAGTTGCGCTATAACATTAGGTCTTTTTTGGATAGTAAACCAGACGCATTAATATTTTCATTTACAATTGACATAAAAAACATAAAATCTAGTAAACGATCAGTCAGTTGCTCAAATATTTGAACCATTAAGGCTTATCAATCCATGCATACTACAAGCAAAATTATTATTACAAAAATTGTGGGCTGCAAATATATAATGGGACGATGAATTACCCCATGAACCTTTACACAGTTGGAATATATTTAAAGAAAATTTAAGTCATATAAACAAGATTAAGGTACCTAGACACATTTTCGTAATATGTAACTCACCCATTAAAATAGAAATTCATGCTTTCAGTGACGCATCCTGCAAAGCATACAGCGCCTGTATTTATATCAGATCAATTGATAAAAACAATAAAATTCAGACAAAACTTCTTTTAGCCAAAAGCAAGGTGGCGCCACTGAAACCATTATCCACATCTAGGTTAGAACTCTGTGGTGCGCTATTGGTGTCACGTTTAGCTAACAAGGTAAAAAATTCATTACGACTTATTGTTAAAGATAGCATCTATTGGTGCGATTCTACCATAGTATTAGGTTGGATTAAAACATCTAAATCGAATTTAAAATTGTTTGTATTAAATAGAATCAATGAAATCACAGAACACACAGATCAATCTTCTTGACGATACATTCCCACACAGTTAAATCCAGCAGACATCGGGTCCAGAGGTTTGAACTCAGTTGAGTTGAACAATGCGGATCTCTGGTGGTCATGTCCTCCATTTTTATCACACGACGAATCGTCTTGGCCACAACGGCCACAGCTGATTCAACCAGCTGACTTACCTGAAACAAAAATTCGATGTCATTTATCATTAAATAATAATTTCACAATCAATTTGATGATTCGTTATTCAAGCTTACACGTAACAGCTTATGTATTTAGATTTATTTACAATATTCGAAACAAATCAAATAAATTATATTTATGTTTAAAGGTTTCGGAACTTACCATGGCTAATAATTATTTATGTAAGACGGTTCAACAAGAATTATTTCCTGTTGAATATTTCATTTTTGCACAGAATAAACAGCTGTCACCTAAAAATAAATTAAGTTCTCTGACACCATTCATAGATAACAGCGGTGTAATGAGAGTTGGAGGCAGGTAAAGGAATTCACACTACAATTATGACACAAAACATCCAATCATACTTCACGCTTCACATTATTTCACTATGTTAATTTTCAAACATCAACACACACTTCTCATGCACGCAGGACCATAATTATTATTATCAAGTATTCGTCACAAATATTGGCCAGTAGGAGGGAGAAATCTAGCAAGAAAAACCAGTTAAAAATTGCATAAAATGTTGTCGCTTTTCAGGTAAAACTATACAGCCTATCATGGGTAATCTCCCTTCTGAAAGAACTCGCACTGAACATGTTTTTTCTAACACAGCTGTTGATTATGCCGGGCCAGTAAGGATATCGGACAGAAAAGGCAGGGGTTCAAAATTAATCAAATCTTATATTTGCGTTTTTGTTTGTCTAGCGGTGCGTGCAGTCCACATCGAGTTGGTGACAGATCTATCTTGCCAAGGTTTTATAGCTGCACTCAATAGATTTATTTATCGCAGAGGCAGACCTGCCAATATCTTTTCAGACAATGGCACAAACTTTGTGGCCACAAATAACGAACTTTCAAAATTTTTAAAAAATAATTCTGACAACCTTAGTTCATTTGCATCCGACATATCAATTAATTTTAAGTATTCGCCTGCTTACAGTCCCCATTTTAACGGATTAGCCGAAAGCTCAGTAAAGTCTATAAAATATTATTTAAAACGTATATTATCACTCGCTCATCTCACATATGAGGAAATTAATACAGCTTTAATTCAAATCGAAGGCATACTAAATTCAAGGCCGCTTACTCCCTTGTCGTCTAATCCCAATGACCTCGTTCCCCTGATACCTGCACACTACCTTATTGGACGGACTTTAACTAAGTTACCACTTCCACAGGTGGATGAACACTCAACGATTCACAGTCTTTCACGTTACGAGCGAATCAAGGCCCTCGTTAATCATTTTTGAAAAAGATATCACAAAGAGTATGTTGCGGAATTGCAAATGCGAAATAAGTGGCGCAAGGACGAAGGTCACATCAACTTGGGGGTCATGGTTTTAATCAAGGAGGACCGGCTACCCCCCAATCGGTGGCTCCTAGGAAGGGTCACGCAACTTTATCCCGGCTCTGACGTCACCACCAGCACAGGAACGCTGTGACGAGAATACAATCGTCTGTACCGCCTACCTGCACTATTGGAACAGCAGGGTGTTCCAAGGGCGGAAGATGATGGTCAAACCTAAGACGCCTCCCCCCACCGCTTCAGTTGGCTACCGAATCTTGAACGCACATTACGTGTCCACAATTTCTGCTATTAGAGTCAGTGTCAATTCTATAGTTATTTATTGTGGATTCGATATTATATATAGTTTCAACACAACAGCAAGTTTTTATTTTAATTGTCCGAAGAAGCCTCCCCAGCCAGTGTGCTTATTATTGCATAATACGTGTGACGTACATTCATTGTGGCTAGATTTGATCGTATTCTGTATGGCGTTCACACGCATTGACATGTGCGACTTCAGTCGATGTTTTTGCTTAAGCACTACCAAGGTGCCAAGCCCTCTTTTACTGGTACGCCAGGTATTTTGCTGTGGACTACGGTCTAGTTCCCAGCTTAAGTCCCCTTCGGGGAGAGCGACTTGGTTGGTTCGCGCTCACCGCACACGGCGTGTGTGGAGCCGAGTGCCTCGCCCCACATTTTTTTTAAAATTTGGGAGAGCAAACCTTTCTATCTGGTATTTGATGTTATTATTTTGAGCCTTTCTGAAGCGGGAAGGGATTGATTAATAAGGAATTGTAAACAGGAAATGTAAACCTAATTTTAATAATATAAATAATACAAGTCAAAAAGGGACGATTTAATGTTCTTAACCTTCTTGAGCCCTGTCTTCGTGAACGGGGTTCCTTCGCTTATGAGGCACTTCCAACAGCTTTCGACTGCTCTATACGGCCAACTAGCTGGGATAAGAATGGTCATTTACCTTAAAAAGATTGTGGAGTTGACAATCTATTATCTCTAAGACCGGCAACGCATCTGCAATTCCCCTGGTTCCCTTACCATCAGGTGAGCCGCATGCTCGTTTGCCCCCTCTCCTATAAAAAAAATCTATATCTTCCCATCTTGTGTATTTGTCGTAATGTCTCGTTTTCCGGCAAAAAACATATCAGGGTCAAGGCGAGTTCGCTAACATTCGGAACGCGCTCGGGGTGATACAAGTTACTTGTTAAAATTTTTGTTACTTTTTGTTGTTTATTTAATTTTTGTTATTTTTTTTGTTGATAATTGTTTTTTATTAAGAGTGGTTATTGATGGAGCCACAACCAAGTACGTCGAGAATTAAATCAACAAATTTTACTTTTCCGAAAAAGAAACGTCCAAAGGTGTGTATAGGAATAGGACATATATGAATGTTGTTTAGTAGTTTTAATTACTAAGTACTTGTTGCGGAGTATTGGTTAAATTTATCTCAAAGTTATTTAAAAACAGCAACTGTAATTATAAAACTTTTCTTAATTTATTAAAGATGCATGTAAGTAAAGAATGTATATCATTTTTATTTAATTTTTAATTTTAGGTGACTAGTTTTACTGTGAATGAAAAAATATGGTTATTAATAACTAAAAATATGTTGAAGATACTGGGCGTAAGACTTCCCTATTATCATTGTGAATTAAACCCCATTGAGTTGATATGGGCTGATGTAAAGTGGCACGTAACTAGAAAAGTACTAGGTTACTATACAAACACAACGTAAATAAGGGTCCTAACTAAGACGATCACGCCATAAATTTATTAAACGGCCTATATTTAAACCTTTAGAAAGATCAATGTAATTATGATTAATACACTGGTCACGTAAATTTGATATATTTTATTATTCTAAAGCAATAAAAAAGAAAGAAAGAAGAGGGGGAGGGGGGAGTGTTACACTCTAATAATCTATTGTAATTATAAAGTATTAATTGAGGCAGAAACGCAAATCCATCATGAATGCTTTGTTAAAAAAAATTATTATAAAGATCGCAATTTAAAGTATTTCTTGGAGAGATACCATAATGAAACTATCTAAAACCATTAAATCTTATTATTTTTAAGGTCATGTTACGAAAAAAACCGCTCACTTAGAAATAAGAAACCTGTGCCGAGTAGTTGGACGAATATAGCTTTTTTAATCAAAATCCTTTCTTACTTACTTACTTATTTTCACGCACAATCCCTGACGGGGTAGCCAGAGAGAACAGATCGCCAAGTGTCACGATCCTTACAAACCTCTTTCGCTTCTTTCAGATTCATTATCTTCTTCATGCATGCACGTCTAGGTATCCGAGTACTCTTGACCCTACCCTCTTCGAGCAATTTGCTCACATGGTCTTCGAAAGTTAGTCTCGGTCTACCTCGACACCTTTTAATATTAACTTTCGCGCTATATATTTTCTTCACCATTCGGTCTTCACTCATTCGCTCAACGTGCCCAAACCACCGAAGCACGCCCTTATCAATTTTTGTGATAAGGTCATCTTTCAAACCTGCCATATTGCGAATCTCTTCGTTTCGCTTTCGATCGGCCAAGGTAACGCCGCACATTTTACGAAGAGATCGCATCTCCACTGCATTCAACTTACTTTTATGCTTCTTCTGGCATACCCAAAAAATCCTTTCAATTTTTAAATTTGTAATCTTATAAGCTATTCATCTAATTCCTTTAGTTAAATTGAATTTCCAGTTCATTGAGTGTACCCCGAGCCACACACAGGCCATTTCACAATTGTGGTAATTTATTTTATTTTCGATGTCTCCATAAGCTTGTGGTATATCTATAATCTAATTTATTATTAAAGGGCTGCCTTATCATACAATAATATTATCGTTAATACTTAATATAAAAAAAGAGTAGATCTCTCCTGTAACTAAAAATTACCATTGTCATCAAAACATGTGGGTCAAAGTGGCACAGAACTGTTAAATAGGTTTTTAATGAAATTTAATTGGTGTCTATTTTTATGTCGATATAATAATATATTAATTATTATTTATCTGGTAAAGCTATACTGCAGCTATATTATTGTTGTCACGAAGGGGTCAGCTTAACCGGGGAAGGATCACAATCTCACAGAATACGTAGGTCACTCAATAATGTTTGAGATACTCGAAATTTAAAAATCGAACGCACCCGTGTTATATGTTTCTAAAAAGCAAATTTATTTAAAAATAGAACTTCATAAGCCAATTAATCAATATTAAAAAAAAAAACAGTTATCAATATCAATTTTAAGTATCAATTTTATTTTTACAGGTCGGAAATCGCTTCTTCGTAGACAGCCGTTCTTCGGCGCTTGAAAAAAAATTGCCTTTTATTTTTTCTTTGACTTTTGGGAAGTAAAAGAAATCACAAGGAGCTAAGTCAGGGCTTCAGGGTGGATGACTTAGAGTTTCAACACCAGATTCCTCAATAAATGCTTTTGTTCTAAGGGAGGTATGTGAAGAGGCGTTATCGTGATGCAGCATGATTCCCCGAAGACCGATCTTTGGTCTTCTCTCCGGTACAGCTTGAAAAGCCTTGGGTAATGCAAGAGCGAAAGGGTTAATGCTGCTGTGTTTCGAATGGTGAGTGTAGGGAACTAGAAATGTTTACAAAGGGAATCGTAAGATAAAAGCGAAAATATTTAAAATTTTTTTGTAACGAACCTTGACGCTGACTTACGATAACACGCATCGAGCCCGCTTCGCATGCCTCACTACTTGAACGTCGCCATGCTACATTCAGAGGGTCGAGTTGTAAAGTTAATATATTTTTTATATTATATTATTTTTTGCTATTAAAAATGAATGCTTGTAATGGCGGTTGCAACAAGCCTCTGAAGGCTAATGAAAAGATTTCCTGCTCTCAAACTAACTGAAAAAAACAATTTCATTACTTTTGTGTTCAACTGAGAAGTGCTAAAAAGCCGACTAACTGGAAATGCCCTGATTGCATTCAAGAAATGTCATCAACTCAGCGTAATAAAATCAAAAAATATACACCCGGTAAGAACTCCTTATCTAAAGCTATCAATGAATCACTCGACGAACATCAAAATGTAACCTTTACTCGGGGTAATACTTTAAATAATAGCTTCGTTGAAGAAACTGTCAATCTGCGGTCCGCTGTCAGAAATATTTTGCATGAAGAAATAGGACATATTGTACGAGCAGCAATAAGCGAAGAGTTTTCCATATTAAGAAAGGAATTACGCAGCTGTGAAGATTCGTTAAGCTACTTGAATAATAAGTTTGAATAAATGAATAATAATGTTGAGGCCTGTGTGGAAATGAATAAAACAATCCAGCTAGAGAACAACTTATTGTAGCGCAAAGTCAATGATTTGGAATCGAGGTTGTCTGTTATAGAGCAGGACTCGAGGCAAAATAATATAGAAATTCATTGTCTACCAGAGTACAGACAAGAGAACTTAGTTAAAACTCTTATGCAAATCAGTAAAGTAGTTAGTTTTCCTCTTACAGAAACTGATATTGTTGCCTGTAATAGAGTTCAAAAACAAAACCCAGCCTCAAAAGTACCCAAAACAGTTATATGCAGATTTGTCAGTAAATTAAAACGCGACAACTTACTTGCAGCTGTATACAAATATAACAAGTCTCATCCCAAAGCAAAATTGAACACCAAACTTTTAGGCTTTGGTGATGTTAAATCAGCCGTCTACATCAGTAAACATCTCACCCAAGCTAATAAATCACTGCATGCTGCAACGAGAATCTGGGCAAAAGAGAAAAGTTACAAATATGTATGGGTAAGAAATGGAAGAATTTTTGTTAGAAAAGACGATGAAAATCCAGCAAAAGTGATATTACAACAGTTTACCTTGAAATCTTTAAATTAGATATTAAATCTTTTTAGCAACGGTCATTGTTTTTAGTTTTAAAATTCACTCTTAGTATTTATTACCAAAACATCCGCGGTATGCGGACTAAATTACCTGATGTCTTTTTGGAAGTTAGCGCTAACAATTTCGATTTAATCGTATTAACAGAGACTTTGCTTAACGATAGTATATTTGATAGTGAAATTTTCGATAGTAGGTATCAAGTATTTAGGAGGAACAGATCACCCAACACTTTTAATGAGAAAAATGATGGAGGTGGTATTACTATCGCTGTGAAAAAGTCAATTAGTGCTTATAGAAACCACAATTTTGAATCCCGTTGTGAAGATTTATGGGTAAACCTAGAGCTGGGTAACTATAGAATCTATATTTGTTCAGTTTACTTACGTTCTCCTCTAAATCAAACTCATCTCAAGCATTTTACTTAAAATGCTGGTAATGTCATTAATAATTCATGGAGATTTTGGAGATTTTAATCTGCGTGACATTGTTTGGACTCCTTCTAATGCAGATTCATCGCTTAAACCCAGCAATTTCGATAATATCTTCGGTTATGAATTCGTAGACTTTTTATCTAGTTATGATCTAAAGCAATATAGTCAGATCTCTAATCACCAGGGCAAAATTCTCGGCCTCGTGCTGAGTAACACAATCTGTGATATTTCCGTTAAAAAATCAAACAATATAATTTCTCGAATAGACAACTATTATCCCCCAATTGAAGGAGACTTAGTTTTATGTAAAGCAAAAATGCTCTCTCCAATACAAACTCCTAAATATAAGTTTTTTTAGCGAATTATGATAGTATACGAGCCCATTTATCCGACCTTAACTGGAATTCGGAGTTCCAAAACTGTTCGACTGTTGATGAAGTTGTATCGAAGTTTTACTCTATTATAAAAAAGTTATCACTGAATTTGTTCCATGTCGCATACAAAACAAAAAATCATATCCTCCATGGTATACAACAAACCTCATAAAACTATTACGAGAAAAGGAAAAATCTCGTCAAAAGTTTAAAAAGTACAGGATTGAATTAGATAAATTTGAATACAATATCTTACAAGTTTGGACTAAAACATTAATCAAAAAATGTTATGACAGATACATTGAAAATGTTGTTGACAGCGTGATTAAAGACCCCAAGTACTTTTGGACTCATATAAAAAATAAACGTAAGAATAATGGACGTATACCGTCTAATATGAAATTTGGAGACAAAGAAGCTAATAATGGAGAAAAAATTTCCGACCTGTTTGCAGAAAATTTTGAATTAGTATATAAACCTATTGATATTAGTTTACATATAAACAAAATGGAAATACCAAAGTCTGCTTTCTCCATGGGGAATCTTTATTTAAATAATGACAGCATTGAGAATTGCTTAAAGACTCTAGATATTACTAAGGGCGCCGAAAGTGATAGGATTCACCCCTTGTTCCTGAAGGAATGCGCACTAGAGCTCACGATACCTTTACATATTATTTTAATAGATCATTATCTAAAGATATATTTCCAAAATGTTGGAAGGACGCAAAAATTATACTATTACATAAATCAGGCGATAAAAGTAATATCTGCAACTACAGACCTAATAGCATTCTTCCAGTTTTAGGTAAAGTTTTTGAATCGTTAATTTGTCCTTATTTGACTTGGCATATAAAACATATTATAGCTGATCAACAACACGGATTTTTTAAAAAAACGCTCTACATTCAATCTTATTACATTTAATTAATAGAATCAGGCGTTATTTTGCGGAAATCCATTATATAAAAGCTTTTAGAAAAATTTACTTCGTAAATATCCGCGTTATAAAATAAAATGATTTGTCTTACCTAGTATGAAGAGCACCTCCAGCCCTCCCTCAATTGTGTGCACTATGCCCGTCACCACTAACCCAGCACCGCTACTCCCTACACCACTACACTAGGCGAGACACACCACTGACGACAATACGACACGTGTTTCGCCTCTACACGAGGCATCCTCAGGTGATATAGACTCTATGGTGGCTAACCGCTAAGTGAGCGGCGAGCCAAAACAACTGCCTTTTATACAGACCGATGACGAAACCGCTCTCTATTTAAGGAGTAAGCGACTGCGTCATGCGATAAATCATGCGACTAATCACCGCCGGACTTACGCAGCCGTTTGTAAAATTAAAAACAAACTGCCGCGCAACGCCCGCATACCCTCCAACCACGCAAGCAATCGCCGATCACCTTGAGGGTGACAAACGACCATATTGCAAGGCTCTCTATTAGTAGAGAGCAGGCTTAAAGATATTTAAGAGAGGTGAGTTAGTAACATTTGTTTGTTCATTCAGCAGTGCAACGGTACTATTATTATTTTTTAATATCTCTAACTGTTCCAGCACACACAGCCGCAGCCCTTTATTACACGTATGTAAGACTTTAAAGGAGCCGTTGGCTAGGTTGTGTCCAGTGTCCAAAAGATGTTTGGTAAAATGGGATTTATCGGGATTGCAATTCCTGTACGCGGCTAAATGCTCTTTATAACGTGTCTCGAAATTGCGACCACTCTGACCCACGTAAACGGCGTGGCATTCGTCACAAACAAGTTTGTAAACACCTGACTTTTGACGAATATCCAACTTATCTTTATTATTACAGATATTTTTAAGATAATTGTTTGTATTGAACGCCACATAAACGCCGTTTTGTCTAAGAAAGTTTCTAACTCTTCTGCATACATGGATGCTTATTAGATTGGTTTGCTTCATATCTCACAGATCGAACACAAAGAGTAGTCATTAGCGGTTTTGTTTCAAGAGAAATTATCCCAACGTCTGGAGTTCCACAAGGCTCGCACCTTAGCCCATTACTTTTTATTATGTTTATCGATGATATTAAGCACTGTATCCGTAACTCCGAATTTGAATTATACGCAGATGACCTAAAGATATCCAAAATTTTAAATAATAACACAGACCAAATTCAACTTCAAGAGGATATAGATAGAATTACAGAATGGTGCCGGCAAAATAAAATGTCTCTCAATACAAAGGTTCGCAGTCATGTTGATTATTGTTCAGTCGAATGGTACATCTTATCAAAATAATATTCAGCGTATAGAAAGAATCCAAAAAAGATTTTTAAATAAAATATCTTATGTGAGTGGCGTTCATCGTACAATTCGCAGATACTCTGAAAGATTACCGCATTTCGAAATTTTATCATTGGAGCAGCGAAAGAATTTGCTATCTATAAGCCTTTTACATAAACTACTTAATAATAAAGTGGATTGTCCATCCCTCCTATCACAAATTAACTTGAAGGTGCCCAGAGTTTCAGCAAGATTGTGTAATTTTAGTCTCTTTAGTGTAAATTTCAATAGCAAAAATTATGGTAACAACTCTCCTCTATGTTCTATGATGAGAAAGTACAATGATATTTTCGGTAAATGTAATATAGATCTCTTTAGTGATAGTCTGGGTTCCTTAAAAAAGAAAATATTTCTATACTACACTCAAACTGAAAATTAAAACTTCAAATTATACAATGTTAAGCTCTCTACTAAATTATAATTTTACCTGTATTGCATAGAATAGTCTTTGTGTTTATATCATATTTTATTATCTGTTAATTTCATAACTAATTTTAAATTTCATGTTGAAATGTTGTGCATACCTTTAAGTTAAATACATATATAGTATAATTTTGTTTATAACTGCAAATGTTTAATAATAAAGTTTTGTATGTGTTTAGTTGGTAAGCCTAAATAAATAATAAATAAATGTTTCCAGTTCCCTACACTCACCATTTTCACTAGAAATACCCTTTTTTTACATTAACGTTCTCAGGGACAACAACTCATTTGTATTTTCAGTCTTAGTTCAGAATTAATGTAATGTCTATGAGCTATATAACATTCACTTACCATCATTTGGACTGTATTCTCGGTTGTCATCCTTAGTTTATAAAAAATAGTAACACGTAAATAATTTGTTGCCATGTGGTGACGGTGTAAGAGATTCTATAACCCCAATAGGCGACTGTGGGAAATGTCAGAAAAATCTCATGGCTTCCAGATAGATGGCGGTATGAGCATCCCGATTATGTTAGAAAAAAAACGTAGAGCAGTTATTACGAGCAGCGCCAAAAAGCTAAATGCCTGGTGTTTCGATTGTCATTCCATCTGCCAAGCGTGACCATTGAAGTAAACCATCCAGGTGCGTTTAATGTGCTGATGATGAAATATGAAACAATTAAAAGACGCATTCGATTGTTACACTAGGTAGTAGTAATTCTTTTAACCCGAGGGATCTACCTGGGCACCATGTTCTTATCTATTTCTTGCCGCAAAATAGCCAGTCTAATTACAAAGCGAGGCATTCCATCTTAATAATTTCTTATATTTATTCGAACACTTGACATTAAACACACCCATGATGCCGCGAAGCACCCGAAAAATCGGGAATTAAAAAGTTAAAATTAAACGCGATAAAATCCATAAAGTGAGTTTAATATAAATCATTCCATCTTACTACTATACAACTACAAGACTTCAAAACACTGTAAGCTCGTACTGCGTAGATGAGAGCAAAAGTTAATAGTTTAAAGTTGATGATAGCCTTCGTTAACTATGTCATCAGGACGTCAAACAGCTCAGCATATATATATAGAGTAGTATTCGCATAAATATAAGAAATCAGTATTCTGTCTTAGTCAGAGGAGACAACACATCTGCAGCTTTCTTTGTGTGAAGTTGGTTGCAGGTTTCCATGGACTAAAGTAGCCACTTACCACAAGGTGGGCTGTAAGTTCGTTGGTTGCTTTATTTTTACTAAAAAATCATAGCATTAATGCATTTCAAATTATGACATTTGTCGGTTCATCTCCAATTTATTGCAAAGTCAAAGTCAAAATCTTTATTTGCAGAATGAAATTTTTAGGTAATACAGGTATTTAGTATAAGAGTAAGTCTCAATAATAATCTACCGTGAGTTGCATCGGTGTGAAAATATATCTTAA